TTGTCCCATGCCAAACTGCCAAGAGAAAGCTTGCTTATTCATCCTATATAATAAAAGGCTAATATGCAAATGGACCGAATGACCAGTAGCTATGATGTGCACTGACCACCAGGGGGCAGATGCTCAATGCAGGAGCTGCCCCTTGGTGGTCAGTGCATTCCCACCAGGGAAGCGCTGCTCAGCCAGAAGCCAGGCTCACAGCTGGCGAGCACAGCAGTGGTGGCAGGAGCCTCTCCCACCTCCTTGGAGCTGGCATCCCCTGAAGGGGTCCCAGACTATGAGAGGGTACAGACTGGGCAGAAGGACCTCCCCCACCCAGTGCACGAATGTCATGCACGGGCCTTCTAGTTTAGCCATAAATACATATTATAAGCCTGTGCTAGGAGAGACAACCATGCTCTCATGTCTTTGTTAATCCTCATCTGAGGATTTTTATATACAATGAGAGAGAGGGAGAGGGAAACACATGGACTAGCTGCTTCTAGTACACACCCCTACGGGGGTCAGAGATTGAACCTACAACCTAGGTACGTGCCCTTGCCTGGGAATCAAATCCGAGACCTGTCGATGTCGAGGTGTGGGCTGAGACTTCAACCACTGAGCACATCAGACAGGGTTCTGCTCTCTTGTCTTCACATCAGAAAGCTGACAATAGTGGCAGAGTAAGAAATGGAATCCAAAAACTCCACTCCTAGGTTCAGCTGCCCTATCAACTGTTAGTCACTCTCTTGGGTTTGTGACTCCATCACTTTTTTTAAAAATTCATATTTTTATTGATTTCAGAAAGGAAGGGAGAGAGAGAGAGATAGAAACATCAATGAGAATCATTGATCGGCTGCCTCCTGCACACCCCACACTGGGGATCAAGCTCGCAACCCAAGCATGTCTCCTGACTGGGAATCGAACCATGAACTCCTGGTTCATTGGTTGACGCTCAACAATTGAGTCACGGCAGCTGGGCTATAGTCTCTTTTTTCTGAGGCTCCCTGGATAAAGAAGATTGAACTTTAATAGAGGGAGCATTTTTTTCTGCTTAAAGCAAAAGAAGTAAAGAAATAGGGACCCATGGTATCAGCATACCTGAGATTTACCTCTGCTCACCATGTTCCCGCATTCTAACCAATGTGCAGATCCTCTTCTTAGCCTAGGGCCTCAGGAATGGAGAACGCCTACTCCCAAGCTAACCTGAGCATTAGAGAATGGTTCCAGATGCCAGCTACTTACCTTTCCTGATCCACTGAGGTGTCTCTGGAAATCCTCCACCACGGCCACGGCCTCCTCGCCACTCTCGGGGTGATGCAGCTGCACCCAGGTGCGGAGCTGGCCGGGCAGGATGCTCAGGAACTGCTCCAGCACCAGCAGCTCCAGGATCTGCTCCTTGGTGTGCACCTCTGGCCTCAGCCACCAGCGGCAGAGCTCCCGGAGCCGGCTCAGCGCCTCCTGGGGCCCAGACACCTCGTGGTAGTACAACTGCCTGAAGTGCAGCCGGAAAATTTCACAGACGGGAGGGTGGTTCTTCTGGAGACTGCAGCCTGGCCCCCAGCTCTGGCTCCCTGGCTCCTGCTTCTGGAGCACAGCGCTCCCCGGGATGAGGGGTAAAGCTTCCCTGCCTGGGGTGGCCATTGTGACCCCCAAGAGAAACTTGTTCCAGCAGCAGTTTGTCTGATTAAAACGATGGTCTATAACTCAGGAGCCAGGAGCCGTTTTTTCAAAGTTGGGGTCTAGGGTGAGAGGATTGTCACCTACAGAAACATAAGAGAGAAATCAAAGTCCTTGAAGTATTCAGGTCGAGAACAGACCCTCCACAAAGCTCCAGAAAAAAAGCAAAGCTCCAGAAAAAAAGAGAGCGAGCGCACAACCAGAGCAGTCTAAGCATCTTCCCACGTGACTTACCTTCTTACACTTTCAGTGGCTCCCTAGAAGATAAAACCTAAATATCTACACTTAGCACTCTCGGCCCTTCACAACAGTCTTAGACCTCTGTTCTAGCCATACTCTCTACCACTCTCCCCCGGTACCCAGCTTAGAAAGGTTAACAATGATTTTCAAATGTGGGAAATGCAAAATGATTCAAAGGGCACATAAGAAAACACTAAGTTGCTGAAACCGGTTTGGCTCGTGGATAGAGCGTCAGTCTGCAGACTGAAAGGTCCCAGGTTGGATTCCAGTCAAGGGCATGTACCTTGGTGTGGGAACATCCTCAGTAGGGGGTGTGCAAGAGGCAGCTGATCGATGTTTCTCTCTCACCAATGTTTCTAACTCTCTATCCCTCTCTCTTCCTCTCTGTAAAAAATCAATAAAATATGTTTAAAAAAAGAAAGAAAAAAATCACTAAATTATTATTTAATTTATAGTTAGTGCATGTTTTATAATGGTAAACGAATGAATGTGGTTCATTTAGCTATTACTGAAATAGGAGGAAAACTTTTATTCAGTTTATATTAGGGTAAAACTTTGAAAATCAGCACTTTCAAAGTGGCAACTGGGGCATTTGTGCTCTGCTTCCAATTCCAATTCTGCAACTGGGTACCCTGGGTAAGCAACTTCTCTCTAGGTCTCAATTTAAAAAAAAATATATTTTATTGATTTTGTACAGAGAGGAAGGGAGAGAGATAGTTAGAAACATCGATGAGAGAGAGTCATCGATTAGCTGCCTCTTGCACACCCCCCACTGGGGATGTGCCCGCAACCAAGGTACATGCCCTTGACAGGAATCGAACCCGGGTTCCTTCAGTCCCCAAGCCGACGCTCTATCCACTGAGCCAAACCGGTTTCGGCTCAATTTCTTTATAAACGACGAAAATAACCTGTGAACTCCTGGAGCTCATACATAAAGCATGGCCATTTCCCATTTCCTCTACTATTCCGAATGCTCAGCAGCTTATCTCATCTGGATTTTGCGTGAACAAGTCACACTCCACGTTTGGGATCCCCGTCCAGCGTCTGACAGACTTCTGAAGCTTCGCCTAGTGGCCCAGGGCAGAGCTTGGCAAACACCTATCTGCACTTTGCGCTCGACCAGGCGTCCGGGACGCCACTCCCCTGGCCACGTCTGCCTTGTGCATCGCTCACCGCAGGGCCCGGCTCCGGGGCGGCACCGCTAGACAGGGAAATGCGACAAAGAGGAGGCTGCTCTGGGCGCCACAGGGATGGCACCGCCGGCCGCGGGGCGAAGCATGGGCCTGGCCAGCGTGGCCGACTCGGGCTGCGGGCGGCCGCGGCTCCAGGCTAACGACCCCTCCCCGGGCGGCCCCCCGCCCCCCCTCCCCGGGCGGCCCCCCGTCCCCCTCCCCGGGCGGCCCTCTCTTCCCCCTCCCCGGGCGGCCCCCGTTCCCCGCTCCCGGTCCACTCACTGGGAGTACCGCCGCGGCGCACAACACCCTGGTTGCCGGCAGAAGCAAAAAAACAATGGCCGAGCCGGAAGCGAGAGGACCCACTTCCGGTCGCTCCGGGAACCCGGAAGTCTCGGCCCGGAAGGTGGGCTCGCACGCGCCCCGCAGCCGGGAGAGAGGCGGCCGCTTGGTTGCCATGGCTACTCGCTCCCCAGCCGAGCCAGCCTCCGCGGGGGGAGCGGCGCGGGGCTGCGTGTGCGGCTCTCAGCCCTTTCTAGCTCACGGGGACCAGACGCACCCTAGCTCTGCCCCTTCCCCTCCGGGTGGCCCTGGGAGAGATACCCAACCTGAGCCCTGATACCCAACCACCTAGAAAATGCAGAGCACGGTGTGTGCCACAGGGGGTCTGGGAGCACGGAGCCGGGTAACACACAGACTACAGGGCCAACCGCCTCGCATACCCTGAGCCTTCAGCCAGTTATTATCACACTGTAGGTCAGCAATTTTCAACTGATGCGCCTCAAGAATTTTTAAAACATGCAATACTTGCCTATTTAGCCAGGGACACTACCTCTTTTTCCTTAGATTGTCAAATAGTGAAACAACAACAGCTAACACAATGATAGCCAACAGCCGTCCAGTGTGAATGAATCATACCAATTTTTGTCGGATTGGAAAATATATATATATATATATATATATATATATATATATATATATGCCGCATAATTTTAGTAATAAAATGAAAAAGGTTGAAAAATCACTGCTATATGTGATGCTCAGGGCATTTTCACCTACTCCTCTAAATCTCAATGAACAACTGGCATTTCCATCTTACTAATGAGGAAACAGACTCAAAGACTGAGGTATTTTGGTCCATAGATGTGGCTAATCTTTCCTAAAACAGCACCCAAATTCTGGTGGCCACGGAACGGCTAAAAAGTGGGGGCAACGTAATCTAGATGCAGTTGTCCGGTCTAGTATCTAGGAGGCACAAGCAGAATATGAACAGTTTCCTACTGCTAATAGGGCTGAGCAGTTCCCAGGGGCACCGCTTCTGGGTGCATTGGCCCTGGGTGATAGAACCGTGGGGCCCAAATGGGCATGGGAGAGAGGGGGGCAGGCGTGTTGCGGGGGAGGTGGGGGGAGTTGGAGATGAGCCCCTGATGGTTTAGACCAGTGTTTCCCAAAGCGTGGTACGCGTCCCCCCGGGGGTACGGGAAGAGTCTGGTGGGGGTACACGTTGCACCGGAGTTTGGTGGGGACATGCACTGCACCGTGCTTAGCTGCGCCTAATTCTACGTTCTCATGAGCACAAGGGGTACTCAGCGTGAGGAAACTTATAGAAGGGGTACCCATGTGCCAAAAGTTTGGGAAACACTGGATCTAAGCCTTAGCAGTGGCAGCCCAGCCTTACACTGGAACCAGGGAGGAGCTGAGACGCTGGCCCTCCCAGGTTCCTAGAGAGGCCGCGGAGGTCTGCACCGCGACGCGTGCGTGATTGGATCCCGCAGCGGAGCCGGCGCAGCCTCGGGGGCTGCTGAGCGGCGGGCGGCGGCGGCGGAGGCCGGGCGGCTGGTCCCGGGTCCAGCGCCCGCAGCGCCCGCAGCGCGGAGGGCGGATCTGAGCGCTTGGCCCCGGGGCGCCCGAGCTCTCTCTCCTCTCCCGATGGTGCAGACAAAGCGTGCCCGTTACCGACGACCAGGGGACGCGGGTGAGTGGCAGGAAAGTAAAAGTGACTGCGATCTGTCAATGCTCTGGTCCAGAGGCTTCCTGGTATTTAACATTGTATGCATTATTATGCAAATCCATATACATATATCACGAAATGAGAGCATACTAATTGCTTTTAAAAAAACGGATTCTGTAAAAAAACAATGCTGTGATGAAATATACATGGCATTTACCAAATGACACGTAAACATTTACTGTTTTCACCATTTTAAAAGTGTGTATAGTTCATTGTCATTATGTACATTCTTACTGTTGCGTATAGGAAAGTTATAATATCTTCCATTTGTGGAATGCGTTTGTTCATACGCTGGTTAATTTTGGTGCGAGCATTATGATGCCGCTAAAACACGTTTCCAAGAATCATTAAAAGAACACATTTTGTTTGCTATTTATTTTCCCTAGTACACAGTGCATGAGGCTTAAATGCTGTATTCACGGCTGCGACTTTAGTGCCTGATACATAGTACTTGCTCATTACATTTTGTTAAATTAATGAAAGATGAATCTCAATCAGAATAAGAATGGTCAGAATTTAATGTCCGTGATTGCTGAGTTAATGCTAAATTCAGGGTGAGGCAAAAGTAGATTTACAGTTGTACGAGAAATAACTTCTCCTCCTCCTCCTCCTCCTTCTCCTCTTCCTTTTCTTTCTCCTTCTTCTTACCATGCAACAAAACTTTTATGAACATTTTGAACAGATTCAGTCATTACTGAACTGTAATTTTTAAACTTAAATTGGGGAAACAGTTTATTCTTGTATTATTAATTATTACATTGTTTTACATACACGTATAAACCTACTTTTGTCCCACCCTGTGTTTAAGATATAAATCAGAAAAAAACAGTAACAACTCAAACTTCTTCAGTTTGAAACCTTTAAGTTTTGAGTTATTGGAGACTTACAGAAGGTTGCAGAACTATACAGAGTTCCCTTATCTTCTTTACCCAGTTTGCCTTCAGTTAATACCCTGCATAACCATACTACAACCATCAAAATTGAGAAATTCACGGTGGTGCAGTATGATTAATGAAACGGATTACTTTAATAGGTTCTGGCTATTGACTCTGTGTTCCAGGATGCAGTCTAGATTCCCTCACATAGTTGTCATGTCTACTTCTTCAAACTGGTGGGTCCTCAGAAGTCTCTCAGTCATTCCTTGTTTTTTTCTGACATCAATATTTTGAAGTATTTCGTATTTGTACTTTAAAAAAAAAAAATATATATATATATATATATATATATATATATATATATATATATATATATATATATATTTATTGATTTCAGTGAGGAAGGAAGAGGGAGAGAGAGAAACATCCATGATGACAGAGAGTTGTGGATCAGTTGCCTCCTGCAAGTCTCCCACTGTGGATCAAGCCCACAACCCTGGCATGTGCCCTTGACTGGAATCGAACCTGGGACCTTTCAGTTCGCAGGCCGACTCTCTATCCACTGAGCCAAACCAGCTAGGGCTCATATTTGTACTTTTAGAATGACATCAATTTGCTTTTGTTATATGTTTTCTCCTGTTTTGAGAATGATGTTGATGTGTCTTATTACTGGTGATATTAATCTAACCCTGAGGTGTCTGCCAGGTTTTACGACTGTAAAAATAGTATCTTTTCCTTTGTAATTAGTATTTTGAGGGAAAAAATACACACACACACACACACACACACACACACACACACGTACAGGAGTCCTGATGCACAAAAATTTGTGCAAGAGTAGGCCTTCCTTCATACTTCCTTTCCATGGCTGCCGGCACCGGCTTTCCTCTGGCACCTGGGACCCCGCCTCCTTTCCTTCTCCAGCCGCCTGCAGGCACCCAGGACCTGGGCTGGCTTCCCTCCGGCTCTGGCTTCATCAGGAAGGATGTCCAGAGTGACATCCAGAATGACATTTGGTCTAATTAGCTTATTACCCATTTATTATATATAATATATATAATTTATATTTATATTTGTTGTTAATTCTCACCCAAGGATATTTTTTCCCATTGATTTTTAGAGAAAGTGGGAGGAAGGGAGGTGGGGGGTGGGGAGAGAAACATTGACGTGAGAGAGACACATCCACTGGCCACCTCCCTCATCTGCCCTATTGGCCCAAGATGGGGATAAGACCTGCAACTCAGGTGCGACCTTTTGTGCGCAGGCTGGTGCTCTAACCACTGAGAACACTGGCCAAGCCTAGGTGAAGATACTTTGAGACTTTGCATAGAAATATCCTCTTTGTTCCTGCCTTTCACCAGTCAATTAGCATTCTTTGGTGGATCTTGTTTGCGGTGATGATTTCTCTAATGGTTTAATGGTGACCCTGATTTCTGTTAATTCCTTCTATATTTATTAACTGGAATTCTTTGTGAGGCAGGGTTGTGCCTTTATCCCCTTTTGTTTATTTGTTCAATGAAGTTATATCATTGTGTGACATTAGATGTGTAATTTTTTCTTTAGCTTATACTGCAGTGCTGTTGTTCATTTTGTTTTTTAATCTGTCCCCACTTTGGCCATTGAGAGCTCTTTCAAGTTGCCTGTTTCTCCCCTGAGGTGTCTCCATCCTTTTCTCTGTCTGCCTGATTTTCTGGCATCACAAACTACTCAATTTGTATCTTCTCTACTGTGGTCTGGAATCAACCACTTCCCCTCAAGGACTCTGGTTCTGTTTATTAGAGAAAGAATGGTCAAGTTTGGGGAAGTAGGTTTGAGCTTCTTTCTTCCTTTCTTTTTTTATTTTAAAATGTTTTTATTGGTTTTAGAGAACGAGGAGGTGAGAGGGAGAGAGAGCAATAGAAACATCAGTGATGAGAGAGAATCATTGATCGGCTGCTTCCTGCACACTCCCCACTGAGGACTGAGCCCACAACCTGGGCCTGTGCCCTGACCAGGAATCGAACCCTGAAGTCTTGGTTCATAGGTCAACACTCAACCACTGAGCCACCCTGGCCAGACTTTCTTAATTTTAAGTATTAGCTCTTGCCAGTCCCATGCTCCTGGGTCTACAGGATTCCCACTCCTAGAGCATTGCTCTCCCCTTCAGACCTTTGCCCCAGCATTTCTGAACCCATGGCTTTTCAAAGTCTTGTCATCATCCTATCATACCAGAATCGCTTCTTTGTGATTCTTTTTCTAACATACCCTCATAATGTAAATCTCCCTTCAATGCTTTTGTTTGCCCACACTATTTCTCATATTTGATTGGATGTATTTGCCCTCATTTTCTCTCCCCAAAATCTTTGCTGAGTCATGGAATCATATAATGTCATGGTTGGAAAAGATCTTTAGATTTTATTTCCCAAGGATACATAGCATCTGAGTGACCTCTGGAAGATCATACTTGCTTTAGGTCTGATCTCTTACTTTTAATTGCTCTGCTCACTTAACTGTGCTGACTCAACACCTCTCTGTCCTCATGGCTCTTCATTATCCTCCTCCACTGAACTTCTCCTCCTTCTTTGTCTTTTCATGAAGAAAAATGTGAGGTATTTCTGATTTTTCTCTCCAATTCTCAATGTGTTACCTCATTCCTTGCTCATATGTGAAGACTTTTTCAGATTCATAGACTCCTGATGATTCTGTTTCCTCAATAAAATGAGAAATGAGTGAAAGCTTTCTTCTTTCTTTTGGGATTAGGTGAGACTCGGATGGAAAATTCGGAGTTGCCTCCAAGGCAGGAAATTTCCAAAGGAACAGAGTCACCTGATGGGACATCAGGAGGCCTGTATGGGATGGCTCCTGGGGGACCAGAAGCTGGAAATGCCTGTGAAGATGCTTTAATAAAGCTAGAAGCACAACCCTCAGAGGAGGAAGGGAGCAGACTAGAAAGTGATTTCTTGGAAAGAACATGTGAGTATAAAAACAAATCTGTAAAAGATGGATGTGATGAGTATAAGGATCTTAGGGAACATAAGCATCTGTCTTGTAGTCCTACAGAACATCAGGCTCTGAAGGCACAGAAATTATATCAATGTGATGAATGTGGCAAAGCTTTCAATTGGAGTTCACACCTCATTGGCCATCAGAGAATCCACACTGGAGAGAAACCCTTTGTATGTAACGAGTGCGGCAAGGCCTTCAGGCAGACGTCTCAGCTCATGGTTCATCTCAGAACCCACACGGGGGAAAAACCCTATGAATGCAGCAAGTGTGGGAAGACCTATCGACACAGCTCCCATCTCATTCAACACCAGAGACTCCATGATGGGGAGAAACCGTATAAATGTAATGAATGTGGAAAAGCTTTCAACGAGAGTTACAAACTCTATGACCACCAGAGAACCCATACGGGGGAGAAGCCTTACGAATGCAATGAATGTGGAGCAACCTTTACTCGGAATAAAAATCTTCTCCGACATCAGGTACTTCACACTGGTAAGAAACCCTTCAAATGTAACGAGTGTGGGAAAGCTTTCTGCTCTAATAGAGATCTTATTGACCACCAGAGAATTCACACTGGGGAGAAGCCTTATGAGTGCAATGAGTGTGACAAGGCCTTCACCAGGAATAAAAGTCTGATTCGACATCAGCGACTCCACACTGGAGAAAAACCATACAAATGCAAGGAGTGTGGGAAAGGCTTTAATCAGAACTCTCACCTTGCTGACCATGAACGAATTCACACTGGAGAAAAACCTTTTGCATGTAATGAGTGTGGTAAGGCATTCAGCCTGAGTAAATGTCTTATTCGGCATCAGAGACTTCACACAGGTAGAAAGTCCTATAAATGCAATGAGTGTGGAAAAACTTTCAATCAAAATTCATACCTCATTATACATCAGAGAATTCACACTGGGGAGAAACCTTTTGAATGTAATAAATGTGGGAAGATCTTCAGTCATAATTCTAGCCTTATGGTACATCAAAGAACCCATACTGGGGAGAAACCCTATAAATGCGATGATTGTGGGAAAGCCTTTAGTGACAGCTCACAGCTCACTGTGCACCAGAGAGTTCACACTGGTGAGAAACCCTATGAATGTATTGAGTGTGGAAAAGCCTTCAGTCAGCGTTCCACTTTTAATCACCACCAGGGAACTCATACTAGAAAGAAGCTCAGGTCTGGCTCAGTTTCATAAGGTCTAAGTTTCCAAGATAGCAAGGAACATTGAATTAAGCCTTCTGTATAAGAAGGATGATTATCCTGAACCTTTCTTAAAAAAAAAAAAAAAAAATAGCCGAGACCGGTTTGGCTCAATGGATAGAGCGTCGGCTTGGGAACTGAAAGGTCCCAGGTTCGATTCCGGCTTGGTTGCGGGCATATCCCCAGTAGGGGGTGTGCAAGAGGCAGCTGGTCGATGACTCTCTCTCTCATCGATGTTTCTAACTCTCTATCTCTCTCCCTTCCTCTCTGTACAAAATAATAAAATATATTAAAAAAAAAATATATATATATATATATATATATTTTTTTTTTTTTTTTCTTACAGAGAGGAAGGAAGAGGGATAGAGAGCTAGAAACATCAATGAGCGAAAAACATTGATCAGCTACACCCCCCCACTGGGGATGTGTCCGCAACCAAGGTAGATGCCCTTGACCAGAGTTGAACCCGGGACCCTTCAGTCCGCAGGCCGATGCTCTATCCACTGAGCCAAACTGGTTTCAGCTCCTAATCCTTTCTTGAAACCACTAATGAAAGTGGACCATTCCCTAAATGCTGTCTGCTAGGCCAAGAAGGTGGAGAGTTGGAGGAACAGTTGGAGGCACTTTTGGGGAAGTACAGACCACACATTTACTGTACTTGCAGGGTTTTTATTTTCTGTTTAAAAGTGGATGTCATTTTTTTTTTGACATGCATCCTGTAATCAAGTTGTGTACTTTTCAGGGACAGAGGTTAAATCTTCCTTATTCTATTCTACTTTAAATTCCCAATTTACATAAAGTCATTCTCCAAGACTGATTCACTCCTTTCTCTATTTCTAATTTTTATGAGTTTATTTGAACTTGACATGATTAAAATAAGATGCAAATGCCCCTCTCTTTGTTTTTCTTTGCTGTAGCCTTTTTAAAATTCATCGCTTGTTAAAAAAAATAATTTTTTTAAATCTCAACTCTCTAATTGCACCATTTTTAAAGTGGGCTTTCCTCCCACCACTGTACCAAAATTTTATAGGATATCACGTACAAAAAGCTCATTTATGTGTTCTACATGTGCCCCTCTGTTTTTTAACTTCATAAAAATTCATTTGAGCCAGAATTTTGAGGACATGCTTAGAACTCCTGAGAGTCTTACTACTGCTATTTCAGCCTCAAAGAGCTAATGGATTTCTGCTGGAGTGTGTGTGTGTGTGTGTGTGTGTGTGTGTGTGTGTGTCTGTGTGTATGTGTGTATCTAGGAGTCTACCCATGTGTACTTTTTCCTGCACACTGAGTCCAGTTCTGACCTACCTGGCTCCACCTGATGCCTAAATAAACATGTTAAGAACTGCTTCAAAACTTACTGCAAGGAGACCTAACTTTCCTGGTTTTGGCAATGATTCTAAATCCCAAATAGAAGCATTCTTGAAAGCTTGTAATTCAAAGTGTTTTAGTTTGTTGCAGATAAGAGAGTTAAAGGAATCTGATTTCCTTATCAACTAGTTCCATCTTTTGCAACTGCCATCTAATTTCTAGCTGAGAAGTGTTTCCTTAATGATTGTTATCTTCTGGACCATCTTTCATTCCCAAGGGCAAAAGAAACAGGAAATCTTTTCAGAGAATATTCTTTCTTTCTATAGTCAAAAACAAAACATAACCTTGAACAATTTCTTTCTTCCTTGGGGCAGGGCCCCAGTACTGTGGGACTCCTTTCCTCTTAGCAGGAAAGTAGGATTGACAGTGTGACAGAAGAGAAGGAAGTTAGAGGTACAAGGTTAGGTATGTAGCCTAGAGGGAAGAGGTTTTTGTGAGCTCTGATTTATGTCTCAGAGACAATGGAGAAGAAAGGGAAGAGAGTTGAGGCTCAAGAAAATAAGAATTAAGTGTGATTCTGGGGGGGAGGTATCTCAGATAAGGTTACAAAGAATGTTTATTGGGGGCTTAAAAAAAAAGAGAAATATGAAACTAGCTTATTTGAGATGTTAAATTACATGGGAAGCATTGTCTAAAAAATGATAATAAGACTTAGGTTATATGTGTATGGGTAAATGTTACTAATATAGGTAATCTTATCATTGAAGTTCTTATAAATTTGTCAATATTGTCATTGTCTCATTGTTAAATTATTGTATGCCACAAAATAAATGAAACTTTCTTATAAATGAACTCAGTTTTAAACATGTCCATTTTTGAAAGTCTTATAGTCATTTATAATCAATTACTGTTTACTCTGGTTCTTTTGCAATGGTGCTTAATCTTTAGAGAAATTAATGAAAAGGACTCTGATAGTCTAGAATACAGGTTTCTGATTACTTTCAGATCGCTTTAAGTAAACTGGGTAAGAATTTTCAGAAGTCTAATGGAAAAATCAGATTCAAGAAGAATAAGAATAAAGAACATGAGATTAAATGAACTGAGAAGAATGTTTCTCACATCAATGTATATATATATATATATATATATATATATATATATATATATATATATAATTGATTTTTACAGAGAGGAAGGGAGAGAGATAGAGAGTTAGAAACATCGATGAGAGAGAAACATTGATCAACTACATCTTGCACATCCCCTACTGGGGATGTACCCACAACCAAGGTACATGTCCTTGACCTGAATCAAACCTGGGACCCTTCAGTCCACAGACCAAAACTCTATCCACCATGAGCCAATGTGGTTAGGGTATATCAATGTTTCTTTCTCTCCCTCTCTATTCCTCTCTCTCTCTCTCTCAAATCAATTTAAAAACATTAAAACAAATATATGTTGCCCAGCTGGTGTATCTCAGTGGTTGCGCGCCAACCTGTGAACCAGGAGGTCATGGTTTGATTTCTGGTCAGGGCACATGCTCAGGTTATAGGCTTGACCCCCAGTATGGGGCATGCAGGAAGTAGCCGATCAATCATTCTCTCTCATCATTGAAGTTTCTCTCACTCTTCCTCTTCCTTTATAAAAAAATAATAAGAGCTTCCAGTTTAATGAGTTTCACAATCAGATAAGAATAGCTTACACGTGATGGTAACTAAGAGTGATACCAATATCGAGTTTTTGGTCACTCTCTGATGTGTGAGAAGATAACATAAAGGGGAGAATTGTTAAAGTAATAAGAGAGGCCATTAGACTGAGGTGCTGCTGATACTTTGGTGGCTTACCTAAGCAAATTGAAAGCTTAAGCGAAAGTCAATTCCTGTGAATGTCCCCAGGTTAATAAAAACAATCAATCAGAACAGCCAACTGAGCTTTCCCAAATAATGTAACCATGCTCAGGTGACATGGCTCAGTGGTTAAGCGTCCACCTATGAACCAGGAGGTCACAGTTTGATTCCCGGCCAGGGCACATGTTGGGGTTGCTAACTCGACCCCCAGTGGGAGATGTGCAGGGGACCTGCTGATTTTCATGCACAGGCAGCAGCAGCAGAAACTATTCTCATCATCGATGTTTCTCTCTCTCTCTCCCTCTCCTTTCCTCTCTGAAATCAATAAAAAAAATCATGCAATCTACTTAAGCTATAGCCAATCAAATCATTTGCCTTGCTTCCTCACCTCTATAGAAACCTAGCTTCTGTTGATGGAGTGCTCCTAACCAATTTCAGTTTGGCATCACCTGACTTTGCTCAATTAAACATATAAACTCAAAAAATTAAATGTGCCTCAGTTCTTTTTTAAAATATATTTTTATTGATTTTTTATAGAGAGGAAGAGAGAGGGGTAGAGAGAAACATCGATGTGAGAGAAACATTGATCAGCTGCCTCTTGCACACCCCCTACTGGGGATGTGCCCGCAATCAAGGTACATGCCCTTGACCGGAATCGAACCTGGGACCCTTCAGTCCACAAGCAGACGCTCTATCCACTGAGCCAAACCAGTTAGGGCCTCAGTTGTTCTTTTAACAGCACACAGTGTTAGTGACACATGAAAGCCATCATGTACTACTAGTAGAAATACACTTTGTATTTTAGTGAGAAATCTGGTACTTGGAGAATGGCATGAATACTTAATTTGGACATGTAAAGATTAAAACCAGAATTGGTACCTTCAGTCCAGCATCTCTCAAGTCAGCAAAGGACATAAGGTCTATAAAAACATGCTTGGTATAGGATGATTATGAGAAGTGTGACATGTTCTCATATTCTCTGGGAATCCGGTAGGTAAAGGGATAGCAAGTAAATGGCCTTTTTGCTACTATTCTCTTACTTTCTGAAATTGCTGCCATCAGAATCAAGGCTCATACCAAGTGGACTGAAACTGAGCGTCAGGAAAATGCCTCGGCTGAAGCTCATGCACAGGAAGCAGCAGCAGAAACTGTAAGGGTTGTGGCGTATGTAAATGAAGTTCTTTCTGCTTTTGAAAAAATGATCCCTTGTTGTCCAGCTTTGCCTTTTGTCATCCTGGGGCCCTCACAACACAGCCACAGTCATCTCCTGAATCAGAGAAATCAACAGGCAAAATGGTGGTAAATTAGTCAGGGCTATGGGAAATTAAATATGGCCGCTTGGTTCTTCCAAGCTTCCTGGCAAACCCCATCTACTGGTTTCCCCATTTATTCACTAACCCACAATGGTGCGGCTAAGATGTCTCAGGAAATAAGTAAATATTGTGAAAATGATGGCCATCTTTCATATTCATAATCCAGAGCCTCAAACCTGGACCAGATGAGTACCTGCCACCGGACATCATTCCATCTGCCTTCTGGTATGGTCACCAGTACATTCATTATTTTTTCTGGATCTTTTGAAGCCTCCTTCTCTTGCCACAAGGCTGAGCCCCCACAGTGGCAAAGAAACTGTTGGAAAATCTGTTTCCACTTGGGGTTTATCTCCACAATATCTAGTGACCAAAGCACCCACTTCACTGGGAGGATCATCTGGGCTTTAATTAAAACCTTACAAAGTTCTTGTAATCACCCCTGCTCCTTATCACCCCCGATCAACAGGCAAGAACAAAGGGTGTTCTTAAACTCAAAATCTCTAACCTCACAGAAACTACCGAACCTC